CCTCTCTGCTCTCCTTGCCAAAGTGAACGAGCGCGCCGACATCTACTCTAGTTACCCCCACCTCCTTCCAGCTCGTCACCCCGCCTTTATCCAAAAGACAAGCCTTCGCATACGTGACACCTCGACCTATATCAAGCTGAGATCGCAATGACCAAAGGCAGCGTTCTTGTCGCCGGGTGTGTTTCAATTGCCAATCTCCTTTTCCGTGCGCTACTGCGGGGTAACTAGTTAGCAGCCCACTAACGGTATTTCGGCCGCTCTGTTCGCATGATGCAGAGGAGCAGGCTACATAGGCTCGTTCACGTCCCTCGCGCTTCTTGAGGCGGGATACAAAGTCGTGATTGCGGATAATCTGTACAACTCATCCGACGAGGTGCTGAATCGCATTGAGTTGATTTGCGGAAAACGGCCGGGCTTCTACAATCTGGACGTGACCGATGAGGCGGCTTTTGATCGAGTGTTTGATGAAAACCCGGATATCGATAGCGTGATACACTTTGCTGCCTTGAAGGTGAGAGGTACATTTGCGTCACTCTGGTGTCGTTGGTTGCTGACCCCCGAATTTCTAGGCAGTTGGAGAATCCGGCGAGAGGCCACTGGATTACTACAATGTCAACGTCTACGGGACGCTGTGTCTTCTTCGTTCGATGGTCCGCCATAATGTCACCAATATCGTCTTTTCGAGCTCCGCAACCGTCTACGGCGATGCTACTCGTTTCGAGAATATGATCCCTATCCCGGAGATATGTCCCCTGGGCCCAACCAACCCCTATGGGAATACCAAGGTGATCGCCGAAACTGCAATTACCGACGTCATTACATCAGAGCGCAACAAAGCGACCAAGGCTGGAAAGCCAGAAGATGCTGAGAAATGGAACGCGGCTTTCTTGAGATACTTCAACCCAGCCGGTGCCCATCCGAGTGGGATTATGGGTGAAGATCCACAGGGTGTGCCGTACAATTTGCTTCCGCTGCTCGCCCAGGTAGCTGTCGGAAAGCGGGAGAAGCTCTTGGTTTTTGGGGATGGTAAGCGCGATGTTGATTTGGTACTAGGAGAATTTTCACTGACCCAGATTTTCTTCATAGACTATGCTTCCCACGACGGAACCGCTATCCGCGACTACATTCATATCCTTGACCTTGCTGCAGGTCATCTCGAAGCCCTCAACTACCTCCGTGACCATCATCCCGGCGTCCGCGCTTGGAATCTGGGCACTGGCAAAGGTAGTACTGTGTTTGACATCATCAAGGCTTTTAGCAAGGCAGTGGGCCGTGACCTGCCGTACGAGATTGCTCCTCGTCGTGACGGCGATGTTCTCGATTTGACTAGTAACCCGTCGCGCGCAAATCAGGAGCTGGGCTGGAAAGCGACAAGAACGCTCGAGCAAGCTTGCGAGGACCTTTGGAGGTGGACGGAAAATAATCCTCAGGGATATAGGCAGTCACCTCCGGAAGAGCTCCTTGCGAACCTAAAATCGAATTAAAAAAAATGGGGGTTTTCTTCTTGGATGGTATTTATGGATATGGTGGAAATGTAGGTTTATGGGGCAGGGAATAAAACAACAAGCTGGGCTCGAGAAAAATGGCATCCTAAGTTATTGATCTTCGCTTCACTACTAATATTCGTGCGTTTATCCTGTAAGCTGTTTATAGATTGCACTTGTTATAGACATCTGGGGTAGTTATATTCTCTCCATATTAAACAATACAGACCATTGTCTGTTCTACTCCCGCTCCTCAATTGAACACGTCTAGTTTAAGCATCAATATCAAAGTTGATAGTACCATTTTCATTATCAGTACCTATCTCTCCTTTTTATTTATTTTTACAGGTTTTTCCTGTTTTGCTCCCTCTTCCCTTCTTCCCTTTTCAACCGCCCTCCTAAGAGCGCTCGCTTTCTCCGTCCTTTCCAGCTGCTCCTGACTGAATTTCCACAGCCTCTCCGCGATTTTATCATCCATGATCTCCTTCCTCAACACCTCCCTCTGCCTACACTCTTTAATCAACGTACCACCCGCAATTCCCACCCTTCGCTCCTTCTTCTCCGCCTCCGTCTCACCCACGGCGCTGAAGCCCGCTTCCATAGCCGCCAGAAGAAAACTTTGCGCCCCTTGCTCCGGTGACTTCAGAATCAACCACCAGATGGGCCATGTGATGAGGTACAGCAGCAGTCCCAGCAGTGAGCCACGGGTTAACCACCGTCTGGTACCTGGTGTCCTGGAGAAGCCCGGGTCGACGACGAGGACGCGGGAGTTTGTGGGCCGCTTGGGCTGGTTCTTCTTGGTGTGGTTGAGATTGTCGTAGTTGGCGAGGTGGGCTTGGAAAGAACGGGCGAAGATCATGAGGGCGAGTTTCGACGTAGCGTACATACTGCCAGATGTATGCTTTGCTTTTGCTACGTTTTTGGCGGTTGGTTTTGCTGTGGTTGATACGCCCAGGTTGGTGGTAGATTCCAACGTTTCAAAATTCAAGTTTCCCCCGATATAGCTCGAGCATGTCGCAAATATTACTCTAACATCCCGGTCGGGCGGCTGAGCTCGCAATGCGGGACTTAGTATACTCAGCAAATGGAAATTCGCGAGGTAGTTAACCTGCCACTCTCGATTCAGGCCGTCAGCTGTCGCTCGCGAGTCCGGAGAGTGTGACGGGGTCATGATGTTCCCGCAAAGGATGACCATGTCTAGTCGTCGTGGGGGCGTGTTGTCTATCCATTTTGTAGCGAAGAGTCGGATAGAGTGGAGGGACGATAGGTCGACTTGCTCGGCATATATGAGTGGGTTATTGGTGCTGTTTCGGAGATCATCGATGTAGTCCACAAGGAAAAGATCGGTAGGGTGATGCTGGGTAAGGATGATTATCTGGGCACCGCGGGAGGCAAGTTCATATACTATCGACGCTCCAACGCCAGAAGTACCGCCCTGAGAGGAATAGAATATCAGCGAATACGTTGCATTCTTGGTGGGTAGCGGTAGAGCAATATGGCCATATTTACCGTAATCATAACTACTTTCGAGTGCATCCTGCGTTCCGACTTGTTTACCGCGCCGCCAAAGTACCGCTTGAGCGATGAGATAGCGGCGATGCCTGAAGCTGTCGTGACAATGGGATATCCGTATGGGATGGATGAGAAGCCATTGGCGATCGTATGAGAGATGATTGGGAGAGGCATGATGAATATCGGCTATAGTAAAAGGGAAAAAGAAGTCAAGGCTGTCCAACGGGCCTCTCTAGCATCCCCTCTTGTTTGGTGGTTGAGTGTTGTCGAAGATCGCATAGCTAACTAGTTAGGCAGATTGTCAACGAGCTCTGAAATCACTTTCTGGCGCGACGTCATGTCGTCTGGTCGAAGCTTCAACACCACGACCTAGCCCCCTCAACAGGAGAAGCATCATTGCGCAATGGCCGCCAACGAGGATGAATACTTCCTCCCGCTAGAAGACCAGCGCGTCTTTGGTGCTGGCATCAAAAGAAAACGAGTCCAATTCGTTCCATCCAGCGAAACACAGCCCAAGGCCAGCTCCGCGCCCGCGACCACAGCTTCAACACCACACCCCGACGGGACATCCATAACGCCAGAACCATCATCCCTAGGCGACAAATACCTCTCCATTGTCCTATCCAAATCCACCAGCCCCTCGCCCTCATTAGATCCGTCCACCGTCCCCGCCACTGCCCACGGATCCCCATCTGCAACAGAAGACACTACGCCGCCAACATGCGATATCTGCAACCTGCCTCTCTCCGAACCACCCCCCGCGACCGCAGGCTCCAAATATCCTCCCCACCCCCATGAATCCTCCCTCGTCCACCAAGCCAGCCTCCCACACTCCCATCCACCTTCTGCCATCGACCGCACGCGCCCGGGATACAAATATCTCTCTTCCTACGGCTGGGATCCAGACTCGCGGGCCGGTCTGGGCCCAACAGGGAGTGGCATTCGGGTCCCTGTTCGTGCGCGGGTGAAGCACGACACGGCGGGGCTGGGGTTGCAGGCCAAGCAGATGAGTGATGCGGAAAGGAGGGAGCGCGAGAAGCGGAAGATCGCGGGGAAGTTGAATGCAAAGCAGGTGAGGAAGAGGGAAGAGGAAGGGAAAAGGAAAGGGGAGAGACTGAGGGAGATGTTTTATAGGTCTGACGATTTGGACAAGTATCTGGGCGGTGGTTGACTGGATCGGGCCTGATTCATATTCTATCCCTCATGATTGACGATACCCTATTCAATATATGCGGCGGAAAGTCGCTCAATAAAGGCTAATATAAGCCTAGTACCCTTGAGTTGAACTTCCATCATACGCAAGGTGTATGGCTTCAGTCTGCTGACATTTCACGGCGTCCTATGTACATACATTTCAGTCACGAAGAAAAGCCATCAATCCCTAGCGATAAATCGACAACAACAGATCCACCCAGATGCGCCACACTGATCCCGCTGAAAAAGGACAGACAAACGAATTATTACGCATTCAAAAGCCCCATGGGGATAATACAACATCCGCTAGCGTCATTAGGTTCGTAAACGTTCGGAGGTCTATTTAAAGAACCGCTTCTTCTTATCCTTATCCTTTTTGTCTTTATCTTTCTTATCTTTGTCCTTGTCCTTCTTGCTGAGCTTTTGCTCGCTTTTCGACAGCATTCCATGTGGTTGCGCTGGTGCAGATTCGCCGAATGACTTGACTCTTCGCGGATCTTCTTGGGAGCTCATGGTCAAAGAAGCAAGGCCAGCAGTTGGAGGTGCCAACGACTTTGACGCTGTCAGCGGCGGAGGCTGAGGTCGCAGCTGTTGCGACGGCAACTTTGGCGGGGGCTCCATTTCGAATAAATGTCGGGGTGCTTGTGGTTTCGGTTGCTCAGCGGGTAGATTAAGTCGTCGTTTGTCGACGCTTAAATCCCCGATTTGGCGTAAGAACAAGCTTGGAGTAAGCATATGTGATGTAACAAGATAGATATCTTTGTTGTGAGCGTGAGATAGCTCATAACAGGATCGCGCCTCGGAATAGGTCGCTCCACCGGCCATGAAAACAATTATTCTCTGACGAGGTTCGGTTGCTGATGGACGTGTCCTGGCCCAGGTAGGCTTCGCGCTTCTAAGAGATGCTTGGGAGACCGCATCTTGGCCCATACCATCGCCACCATCCATCTGAGGGCGAGTAGAAGGAAACAATGATGTGTCCACTGCGCCCCGTATTTGCTCTTGTATCATTAATTTTAAGTTAGGTTCATATCTAGACAAGCTCGTGTCATCTTCTGTTTGCACGGGGGGCTTCCGAACGAACAGTGGTTGGCTCGGCTGCTTCGTATCCTTTAGTGGTTTCTCGACTCGTGCCCCTAACAAGTCGAAATTATAGACGACCTCGCCGTCCTGGGGGGGAAGCTGCGAATGAGCAAGTAGCTTTTTGATATCGGCAGCGAGAAGCCCGCCTCGATATAAAAGGTAAAGTATTATTAGCCTTAGCCGATCATGCGGTTGAACGCGCTCGTCATCGAGGAGTCGCACAACCTGGTCAGCAAGATTCTTGGGCTTTTTGTAATCTTCATCTAAACCGGTGGCAAGTGACTGGCGAGTGTTAGATGGATTTAAAAACTAGCCCGGGTAGTGAGATTGTTCCCATACCTGCTCAACGGAAGCGAGCTCTGGTAGATTGCGTTCCTGAAACAATCGCATGCACTCTTCCGCCATATTAAGATGCAGCGTATACGAATTCTTTCCCTCTTGAAATTTCGATAGTCCAGCTAACATATCCTTAAGTGTATTCACGTTTGCAGGGGAATCGCTACTTTCACGTAAGCAAGAGAAGAAGAAAAGGGGTAACTGATGAACTTGCCTCTCTGAAAACTGAGGATTTTTCGCTCTGAACTGATTGAAATCATCTACTAACTTTCCAAGGAGATCTTTCATGTGCAAATGGCGACTTTCTACCCAGATGCTATCATTTTCAGAGATCTCCAAGTCTTTTGTCTGCTGATTCGGCTCTCCGCTATTAATGGTAGTGTTATACGTCACCTTTTCCCCTTCCTTGATAGGGAGAAGATCGTGAGCCATGGCCTGATATGTGAATTCGTGGATTAAGGGGGCGACAAGATCTAGGGATCTGTCGACTACATAGAGAACGCCCCGTGGCCTGGAGGACGGAGGAGGAAAGTCTTCCCGCGACGCTGCATAGGCGTCAAGCTCGTCCTGTACAAAACGTGCCAAGTGAGAGCTCAAGACGCTAGCTTCATGAGTTGGGTCTTTGGGCCGAAAGTATCGAATTAAAGGATATTCCCCAAGGGAGACGCAAACGGCAACAATCTGCGTTGTTCAGTTTCAGGACACTCTTACACCTTTTGAAAGGACGCACCTTTTGAGCCAAATCTCCAAGATGCGCACGCACAAGGTTATTACAGCCCGGGTGGTAAAGGGTGGGAAAGCTCCAGGGGTCGCGAAAAAGCACAAGGTGCGACTCTCTTGGAAAGTAGTTGATGTTTACGATTCGGAAATCGGCGATCATTTCACGGGCGTTGCTTAAGCCATTAAGTCTACTTCTCAACTGCGGATCGAGCCCTGGTAACTGTGTTAGGCGTGTGTTTTAAGTGGCATAGCCGAGAAGAACCTCACTTCCAGTCCAAACCAGGAAAGCTCTCCTATACCGGCGACGTTCTAAGTCGGCAATAAGGCAATCCACGATGTGCGGTAACGGTGAGAGTATATAAACCGCATCTGTTTCCTTGTTCATCGGCCTCCGATGTTCGATCTGCTCGATATCTTTGCAGCTCTTTCAGCTCCACTGGAAACCCGGGCGGTTTGGCAGACTGGAAGCCTTACTCGTAACATTTTCGTTGAGGATATCGTCTTCATTGACGGTATTGTCAATCAACTTCCGGCTCGCTTCATCCAGCACGAGCACTTTCCACTTGAGGGTAACGAGTCAACGTTTGCTTAGATCGAGGGTAGGCGAGGAGCTACTAACTTCCCGTTCGGCGGTGTATCGGACTGTGTCTAGGATAACTGTCAACGGGAGTTAGCTGTTTCCATGGCAGCTGTGAGAGGGGACCCGTCAATACGTTTGCGTTGCACCTCGAACAGGGAGGCGTCCATCATGGCGGGGAATCGATCATGAGAATGCGAGTCGTGGCTTTGACGCAGGTGGTGAAATGGTGAAGCGAGTTCGGCATAGAACAGATATAACAGTGAGTTTCAAGAGGTAGTTAACATTAAATCAGAAAACAGCCGGCATGCTCGACTCTGTGGGTTGCAAGGAGACTGCACGCTGAGCTGCTTTCATGATGGGTTTCGTTGCGACAGCGTGAATGGTTTCGGGTCTGCGCTAGGCTGCAAATGGTCTAGCTAACTACAATATCAAACTTGTTCATCAAAACATCAACTTCATTACAAGAGCCAGAGATGCAAGGGAGACATTAGATGACAAGCTAACATTGGACTTTTCTCCTGGGCACAGAGTCTGCTCTTGCCCGGACCTGATTTTCCGGCTCTACTAGTCCTGCTCGACGAGACCTTGTTGTATCCGCACATTCGAGTGTGGGACATAGATATAGACGCTCGGTCCTGGCGCCCCTTTCTTGTAGTTGCGCTTGATTTGAGTGTCAGAAGCGCTTTGCCATTCCCTCAGCTGCCCAACTTCCCAGTCCATCGCAAAGATATTGCGATCCGCTTCCCAGGAGTGAATTATGTGATCATAATGCAGTTTCTGAACTGGTTTCTGGCGAAACCGTGTTCCAAAAACCTTGCAGTTAAGGAGCTCCAGGATGATATCGCCATTCGCCAAAGCTACAATTTTGTAGTCTCCAACATTTCCAATATTTGCTGGAGTCTTCTTATCAGCCCCTTGAGTAACCATGAGAGCGTAATCATCGGGCGCGGGATCAAAAAGCGCAGTGTAATCGCTTTCAAGGCTTTTGTCTATGTAGACCGTGTTGTAGTACTTTGTGTCTGTTGTGTCAACTTCCCATTTCGAATAAGAGACATACTGATCGGGGGTCTTGCCGCTCGGAGGGTCGATTGTGCTGTATTTCTCGTGAGGTTTCAGTTTAACTTTCAAAACCCGATAGGAATGAAGGGCAGATTTCTTTGGCAATTTAACGGAAAAGAGCTCTTTGAATGTCGTTTCGTTCTTCAGTGTCAACTTTTCATTCCCCAATCCCTCAAATGATGCGCTGCTGCATGTTAGAGCAGCGTTACCCCTTGTTGCTACGGTGAGCGCAAATAAATTATTCTGAGCCCCGATGCTATACCCTGAAGATGTCGCGGACATTTTATCATAAGGAAATAAATGTCGTGCAGGATATTCTTTTGGCGCATTGAACGTGTCAAAAAGTCCAGCAGTCGCAACAAAGGTGCCGATTACACCGAGCACCCACGCCGTACTTGTTGTCATGAGCAATCCAACAGGAGGGAAGCCTGTTAACGCTAGGCATGCGCCGGTGATAGCCAGTGCTGCAGTGCCAACCCCATTTGCCGCAGGGTTCAGCACACAGTACACAACCTGATCGCTGTTGTTTTCAACCCTCGTCGTGCTATTAAACAGTCCTCTTTTGCCGCGTCCAGAAAGCGAGAGCGGCTGGTCAACAGAAAAGGTGACTATTCGCGGAATTTAGCGCCTGCAATCGGGATAAGAAGATAGAGACAGCGCAGACCTTGAATTGGTTTATCAGAAGCAGAGAATGGAGTGACTTTGGCGGAGAGCCGCTCAAAACTTGGGAATTCGACCCATGCCGCGGATTCGGTCTCCTGAGAACCAGGGGATTTTGGGCCGCATATAAATTTGAAGAGCATAATCACTTCAGCGCCCTCAATCACATTGTCGCCACCAACATTGCATGTGAACACGATGGTGCCAGAGACCTGCTTTGCTGGATCGGCTAATGTATTCTCTTGATTTAGTTCAAAGTCGCAGGCATTAGGATAGCAGCAAAAATACCTTTGGGAGGACTGCACAGTAAACTCATCTGCAGTAGAACCGGCCGCAACTGTCTTGGGGATAATACCCTTGGTTAATGAGCAGCCATTCTTGAAGACATCTTGACTAGAGTCGTGTTTGATTGTAATAGGGAGCAGATTTTCAATCTTAATGATGGCAGCATAGGATGAAGACATTGCTCTGCCGGGGGTCGGGGGGTTTCAAGGAGTCCTAATTCCATTCAAAATCTCTCTGAGCTGCTCTTTTGCTTCACAGGAGTAATCGGTCTATTTATCCTGAGCATCACCAGTGTGTGACAAATACATAAAGCTCTAGAATCAAAGAGACAACTGCATTATTTGATCAGAAAATCAAATATTAGATCTAAATCCAGAACTTCAGGTAGCCTTTGAAAAGAGATAGCGGGTAAATCTCATGGCTGGCTGGAAATATGCACTTTCTTCTATCAAAGCTTGCTCCGGAGAAGTCCGAGCCCCTGCATGCAACCCATCTGATGAAAATCATACAGGGATCCGTGCACACTCGAAGCCATGGGGAACAGGTTTTTTCCAAATCCAGTCGTTACCATTATGAAAACGAATTGCCATCAACATATATCACGCTGCGGATATGGCCGGCCAACTGTAGATTCACGGGTTGTCGAGACCAACAGATTTGTAGTTTGGAATCATTTCTGATAATCCATCACCTAGCAGGCTGCGCAATTGCATGGATTCTTTGGGAGTTTCCCCGCGAATAAGTCGTGGCTAGCTGAGAGAAATAGAAAAATGTACGTACTGCCCGTCGTATAGTATGTCTAGACGTGTGTCGTTTCCCTACTCGAGGTTTATAAATTTTAGTAGTTCCCTCGCTCCCTAACAGCTGAAATACTGTATGCAAGCGTTGAATATCTCTTCTCCTAAACTTATTCTCGACTTTACCTCTGTTTTTCGACCTGCGCCTAGCACAAACCAGCTAAAATGTCTTCTCCATATGCCGCGATCATCAGAATTGAAAATCTGCTTTCTGTTGAGCTGAAGCACAGTTCTTCCGAAGATGCTTTCAATGATAGTTGTTCTGTGACCAAAGGTACTATCCTTGAAACAATTGGATCTGGAACCACTGGAGCCGAATTCACGATCCAGCCTCCCAAAGGTATTTCTCCTGGAGAATCGTCCTAATATCATGAGTAACAAAAATTATCAGATCAACCCACGAATAAGGTCTCCGGTACCATCAAGTACACGGCCAAAGTCGCTGAGAAAGATATCACTCTTCAGTTCAAGTTCTTATGTGGCCCAAAAGCTGCTGGCTCCCAAGAGACTATGGCAGCAGCATCCATTGAGTCTACAAGCCCTGAGCTTGTCTCTACTAGAGTCACCCCATATGCTGCTTCTGATACTCCAATTAAAGGTCTGCATTATGCCGAAACATTAACAGCATTTTGTGTTGCTAAGCCTTTCAAACAGTCACCTATACTGTCGGCCCACCGCTCGCAATCCCCTAAAATCGTTTTGGTTTAGTTGATCCGGACCCATTCAAGAATGTGGTTTGTTGCAGTTCAAGGTGGATGATTCGCTGCTGGCAATGTTGTAATGGCCTTCTAATTATAAGTTCAGAATAAGTTTTGTTCTAGACAGGAGCCAATAGTTACCAATATCAGACTAGTTGAAACATTGACACACCTACATCTTAGAACACATTCATATTCCAGCCCACTCCCATATCAGCATGTCAACTCTCTCTCAGAATACCATTTGATAAGTTAGTATATCCTAATACCATACCAGCGAGCCCGATTGCAGCTAGGAGATTGGCTGAATGAAGGAGCTGGGAATTAGCCAAACATGACAAGCGATATGTTTTCGACATTAGTTAGTAACCTCGAGTCTATGGTGAATTTCTCAGTTCTCCTCGAGCTGCCCAGACGGGACCTCAGGTCAGCGATGTGGGTCGGAATAACATTTCCCCGAAAGCTGCACGTCACCACGCGTTAACTGTTAATCCGGGATCCAAATCTCAACGGCCCGGCGATTCGAAGTCGAAATCAAAATCATTTTTGTCTCTGTTCATAAACCTCCATAGGCAGTGTGTTCATGATTCACAGTTCTGCCATTTCGGGTTCGGACTACTGGGAAGAATTCTGTTGAATTGATAAGCTGGCGTCCTTGAGCGTTGACGCTGTTTGAAGGGAATTGCATTCGCTGCTCCTCCATATTGGCTACCACTCTATTGAGATAACTTACCGTAGTGATGCAATCATGGAGAGCCCCTTGGAATCAATGCGTATTTTGCGCCTTTCGACAGTACCCCGTGCCGCGCCAGCTCAGCCGTGCTTTTAGTACAACAAGTCCGCTGGGCAGAGGAAGCAAGAAGCCTAAACGGAGTAGATCACCTCGAATACAGGTATCTACACAGGACACACTCTTTTTAATTTGACCTTCTTTTGACCTTAATCCTAGGAGCCCACTTCCCTGCATCAGAGAACGCGAAATACACGAGACGCCGTCGTTCGAAACGATGCCTTTACCCCTGTATTAAAAGGCGCATTGGAGGATTTAGGGAACCACTTGAAATCAGAAGAGGAGAAAGCTCAGTTTAAAACATTTCAGGATAAAGTTACCGCAGTCTGTTCCCAATCCGGTGGGGGGGCAGGCAACTACGGCATAAGGCGAAATTTACACGAAGCGTTTATATATTCGGGGACGCTTAAGCTCGCCCGTGCATTAGAGACGGAATTTCGGTATCATAAATTTGATCAGAAGTTCACTGATCGTGCGGATGAACACAAGGCCTTAGCCGACTATAGATTTCCGACTGAGTGGTATCCAGCAGCTCGATCTCTCCAGCGCGAAATACATCTTCACGTTGGGCCTACCAACTCAGGAAAAACATACCATGCCTTGAAAAGATTGGAAGAAGCGAAAAGCGGCTTCTATGCTGGCCCGCTACGACTTCTCGCTCACGAGGTTTATTCACGCTTTAATGCAAAGGGAATTACTTGTGGGCTTATAACTGGCGACGAAGTGAGAGTTCCAGAAGGAGCCATTCCACGAATCTATAGCAACACGGTTGAGATGGCCCCACTAGGCCAAGAAGTCGACGTCGCTGTCATCGACGAAATCCAAATGATTGGCGATCTTCACAGAGGTTGGGCATGGACTAGAGCGTTGCTCGGTGCCCCAGCCAAAGAAGTCCATCTATGCGGGGAAGAGCGAGTTGTACCTTTGATCCGCGAACTCGCTGCGTTGACAGGCGATAAATTGACTATCCACCACTATAAACGCTTGAATCCCTTAATCCCAATGTCAAAAAGCCTGAAAGGGAGCTTACGGGGGCTACAAAAGGGGGATTGTGTTGTTGCATTTTCTCGCCTAGGCATTCATGCGCTCAAACAAGAAATAGAAAAAGCCACTGGCCGAAGAGCTGCAATAGTATACGGGAGTTTACCCGCGGAAATTCGATCTCAACAGGCGGACTTGTTTAATGATCCGAATAATGATTACGATTTCTTAGTCGCTAGTGATGCTATTGGTATGGGACTTAACTTGTACGCTTATCCAAATTTGTTCCCGATTGATGTTTCTGTAACTAACCCTATAACAGGAGTTGCAAGCGTATCATTTTCGAATCGGTTATCAAGAGGTCTCCTTCCGGTTTACAGCGATTATCGGTATCTCAAGTCAAGCAAATCGGAGGACGCGCTGGTCGATACCGTAGCGCAGCAGAAGCCATAGACAGCTCCCTATCACCTAGCGAGGAAAATCAAAATGTCGGACTTGTCACATGTCTTGAGGAAGTTGACCTTCCCCATATCCAGAAGTGCCTGAACGCGGATCCAGAGCCGATCAGCGCAGCGGGCATTCTCCCATTAGATTCCATGATCCTTAACTTTTCTAACCGGTTTCCGCCCACCACGCCATTCGCATACCTCTTACAGCGACTATGGAAGGTTGCGCAAACGCATCCACGGTTCTTCCTATGCGAACTCCAAAGCAAAACGGTACAAGAAATCCTGGATAGTGTCGTTGGGCTCAGTCCGGCGGATAAACTTGTCTTTTTATCTGCTCCGACCTCGACAGCGGATCCTACCAATGCCCTAACCTTGAGAGCATTCGCAACCTGTGTTGCCAGACACACGAGTGGATCCCTTCTTGATATTCCAGAGCTCAATCTCCAAATCCTAGATGCTCCCGTTTCCGGAGATAAGAATTATCTACGCGCTTTGGAATCTCTTCACCGCTCACTGGTGCTTTATCTTTGGTTGAGCTTTAGAGTGGGAGGCATTTTCACTGATCGGAGCCTCGCTACTCATGTCAAAGAGATTGTAGAAATGAAGATGGACAGAGCATTGACTGAGTTCTCGGCCAACTCGAAGTTACGCAAATCTTCGTCCCTTCAAAAACAAATCCAGCTGCTCAAACAATTGAACGCAAACGGAAGCGAAAACAACGCAGAACAAGCCGTCTTTGATCCACCTCAAATCCAATATCAAAAGAAGTCGTTTGATATGGCTACTTGAACGGGAGCGATCCCTCGTTTACCAGGTTGAATGCTGGTTGCAACTTTAAAAGGTTGGCTTGCTGAGCTAATGCAGGATTCATGCATTGCGAAAGTAGCCATTTTGCACACTCTTCTTTTCATCTACAGGGGCCCGTGAACATCCCGGGCTGTGGCTACAGAAGTTCGAACGGTCTCCTAGTATTTGGTACCCTCTCCAGAAAGGTTACATGTTTCTCGCGGGGGCACTCCCTCCGTGGACGTCAACTTGGATGTGCAGCTTATCGGCGTTGCACAGTCAACAAATAATACTTCGTATCAACCTACGGAGAAACAACCCTATTCTCCGCACTTTATGAGACCAGGCTATTTACTTCCTGTTTCAGAGGCTAGCCCCTTTGGATCTGAGTTGTGATGCATGTATAATATATATGTATGTACTTATAGAACAACACGTAACCTTTTAAGCACCGCAGCCCAAAAAGTTTGGAGGAAAGGCGTGCTCATTTTTACTGCCTGATAGGAGGAATGGCTCGCATAGGCCAACAATTGGCAGATACGTGCTCTCTAAACTAACAAGGATGCCAGACCCTCGGTTGCGATATATAATTAGGGATTAGAGAGCAGTGAAGTGCTCCTTCATATTGTGACTCCAATAGTTAGCCATTTCTGCTGATTTATGACATATATTCGAAACCAAGTCGCAAAACAGCTGTTCCAGTATTTTGTCTTGGTGGACTAGCCATCTGTACTCCATAGGCATTCACACTATAACAATCTTTGCTTCACTAGACTGAGCAATCCCTCCGAGCTGCTACTCGGTATCTAGGTCATCACCTCCAAGATGGTGAGTGCTGACAAATCCTGGAGCGCAGAAACAATTATCCGTCCGGCCATCAACCTTTAAGCTTGAATCCAAATGCGCGTTCCAACTGCGCTTCGCCGGCTTGCCTCTTAACGCCCGTTGCAATTATGGATGACCTTCAGTCCTTGGAGCTCTTGTCTCTGGTTTCCAGAGTGACAACTGAGCTCCAAAACCATCTAAGTATCAATGACAAAACTCTCGCGGAGTTTGTCATTGACCAGCACCTGAAATGTGGCGGTTCGTTCAAGGACTTCAAGAGCTCGCTTGAAGCTATGGGGGCAGAGTTCCCTCAAAGCTTGATGGAGAGTATAGATCGCCTCGTGCTGGCAATGCATCCGAAGTACAAATCGAAGAAAAGTGCGGCAGATAATGAACCGAAGCGTGAAAATGGGAAGGATGCAAAGGTGGATGATATCGAGAAGAAGGCAAGAATGTTCAAAGGGTTGGCGATGCCGGATAAAGCGCCTCAATGGGAAGAAGACGATTACGTGAAGGCGGAAGAGACCTCCGAAAACGGCGTGAAGGCGGACGCTATGGATGATACCTTTGCAATGTTGGAGGGTCTAGCTGCGAAGGCTAGGGTTCAAAACAACGGGACCACGAGCAGGAAGCGCAGCCGAAGTCCGGATAACGATGACCATGATCGAGGAAGACAACGACGAGAAAGATACCGGTCTAGATCGAGGTCGCGCAGCGGCGGAGGGCGCTATAAAAGAGACGAAGACTTTGACTATGAACGGCCCAGGACAAGTGGAGCTAGAAGCGATAGATACAGAGATGACTATAAAGAGCGAAGGAGTCGGCGAGATCGTGACGATCAAGACTATTTTCACAGACCACCAACCCCGGAGCTAGACGAACGGCCAATCTTATATAAAATTTACGATGGGCGGGTTACTGGTATCAAGGAATTTGGGGCCTTTGTCAATTTACAAGGCGTTAGAGGGAAGGTGGATGGCCTCGTTCATGTCTCATCAATGCAAGATGGTGCTAGAGTGAACCATCCGTCTGATCTTGTGTCTCGAGGTCAACCGGTCAAAGTCAAAATTGTGTCTATCCAGGGGACCCGCATCGGTCTATCAATGAAGGAAGTCGATCAGGTGACAGGGCGTGATCTTGTCCCTCAGAAGCGTATTGCGTCCGGCGCTAATATGGAGCGGCTTGATGGTACGGGTGCGGATGACCGTTATGGCAGTCTAAGCTCGAGTGTTCCGGTGATAGAGGATGATGACGACAGGAAGCCTTTGCGAAATAAGAAACGCCTAAACTCACCTGAAAGGTGGGAGATCAAACAACTCATTGCTTCTGGCGCCGTGTCAGCAGCGGACTACCCCGATATCGACGAAGAGTACCACGCTACGCTCCGCGGAGAAGGGGATTTTGAGGAAGAGGAGGATGTTGACATTGAAGTTCGAGACGAAGAACCACCATTTTTGGCGGGACAAACCAAGCAGTCATTGGAGTTGTCGCCCATTCGTGTTGTCAGGGCGCCGGATGGCTCACTCAACCGAGCTGCTATGGCGGGAACGAATTTGGCAAAGGAGAGGAGGGAACTTCGCCAACAGGAAGCACAGGATAAGGCTGCAGAACAAGCTGCTCAAGTTGATTTGAACGCGCAGTGGCAGGATCCAATGGTCGCCCCCGACGAGAGAAAATTTGCGTCTGAACTACGAACCGTGCAAAAAACGGAATCGGTTCCAGAATGGAAACGAGTCACCCAAAACAAAGACATTTTATATGGAAAAAGGACGAATATGACAATAAAACAGCAAAGGGAGAGCCTCCCGGTTTATAAATTTCGCAAGCAGCTTCTGGAGGCGGTTGAAAAAAATCAGCTTCTAGTTGTGGTCGGCGATACTGGATCCGGGAAAACGACTCAACTTACTCAGTATCTCGCCGAGGCTGGGTTTGCAAATAATGGCATAATTGGGTGTACCCAACCTCGTCGAGTTGCCGCTGTGTCAGTTGCGAAACGTGTTGCTGAAGAAGTTGGCTGCCGATTGGGTCAGGAAGTTGGCTATACTATTCGTTTCGAGGACTGCACTAGTCCAGAGACAAAGATCAAGTATATGACAGACGGCATCCTCCAGCGAGAGATTCTTTTGGATCCGGACTTGAAAAAGTATTCCGTCGTCATGCTTGATGAGGCGCACGAAAGAACAATTGCGACGGATGTTCTGTTTGGGCTTCTAAAGAAGACCCTCAAACGAAGACCCGACTTGAAAGTCATTGTCACGTCCGCAACCCTCGATGCCGAGAAATTCTCGGAATATTTCAACGGATGCCCCATTTTTACAATACCTGGAAGGACATACCCCGTCGAGATCATGTATTCTCGTGAGCCTGAAACAGATTATCTTGATGCTGCTCTTGTAACTGTGATGCAAATCCATCTCACGGAGCCAGAGGGTGACATTCTACTCTTCTTGACTGGCCAAGAAGAAATCGACACCAGTGCGGAAATTCTATACGAGCGAATGAAAGCTCTTGGACCAAACGTTCCAGAATTAATTATTCTCCCTGTCTACTCGGCTCTTCCCAGTGAAATGCAGAGTAGGATTTTTGAGCCCGCACCGCCTGGAAGCAGAAAGGTGGTCATTGCCACTAATATAGCCGAAACCTCAATTACTATAGATCATATCTACTATGTGATTGACCCTGGCTTTGTAAAACAAAACGCCTACGACCCCAAACTCGGAATGGATTCGCTCGTTGTCACGCCAATATCTCAGGCACAAGCGAAGCAACGAGCTGGTCGTGCTGGAAGAACTGGCCCGGGTAAATGCTTCCGCCTATACACAGAAGCTGCTTTCCAGTCTGAAATGTTACCCACTTCCATCCCTCAGATCCAACGCCAAAATCTGTCCCATACTATCCTAATGCTGAAAGCTATGGGGATCAATGATTTGCTTCACTTTGATTTCATGGACCCACCTCCGACCAACACTATGCTTACTGCTCTCGAGGAACTCTACGCACTTTCGGCGCTCGATGACGAAGGTCTTTTGACTAGGCTTGGAAGGAAAATGGCCGATTTGCCTATGGAACCTGCTCTTGCGAAAGTTCTCATCGCATCAGTTGATATGGGCTGCTCAGAAGAAGTACTTAGCGTCGTTGCAATGCTTTCTGTCATGAACGTTTTCTATCGGCCCAAAGAAAAGCAACAGCAGGCCGATCAAAAGAAAGCCAAATTCCACGACCCGCACGGCGACCATCTAACTCTTCTGAATGTTTACAATGCCTGGAAAAATTCTCGCTTCAGTAACCCATGGTGTTACGAGAATTTTATTCAAGCTCGGCAAATGCGACGTGTTCAGGACGTTCGTCAGCAATTGGTTAGCATCATGGAAAGATACCATCACAAGATTGTGTCTTGTGGACGGAACACGGTCAAAGTCCGCAAGGCACTATGCTCGGGCTTCTTTAGGAATGCTGCCCGTAAGGATCCGCAGGAAGGATATAAGACTTTGATTGAAGGGACTCCAGTGTACATGCATCCCAGTTCGGCGCTGTTTGGGAAGCCTGCGGAACATGTGATTTTCAATACGTTGGTACTGACGACGAAGGAATATATGCAGTGCACTACCGCCATTGAACCGAAGGTACGCATCTTATCATCTCGTTTCTAGCGACCGAAAATACTAACAATTTTCGATAGTGGCTCGTGGAGGCAGCGCCCACGTTCTTCAAGGTTGCGCCCACAGACCGTTTGTCCAAGCGAAAGAAAGCCGAACGTATTCAGCCGCTACATAACCGTTTTGCGGGTGAGGATGACTGGCGGTTATCGGCACAAAGGCGACAAGGAAGAGGTGGCGGTGGTGGCACCTGGGGTTAATCTTATGAATCTACTTACAGTTTATATGGCCATGGCAGCAAAGGCGATAATTCTCCGGTGCATATAAAGGCGTTTGATTTTTCTCGACTCGGCATATTCATATTTAAAAGATTTCAGCGATATACCACTACCCCGTATTTACCATTGACACAGACTTCTCTTAGTCCTCTCCTATGGACTGAAGCCGTACTGGCACTTTCGCCTCAGGGAATGTGTGGATTGTGTTAGGCATCTTGTATGGAGATTGGAAATGCCAACAGAACGAAAGACAACAGTGATTACAAGCCCAGCAATCTTCCGGCACCGCTCAAGCCTTCCACCCTCATACATTCCATCAGACTCCAGAGCAGTCACACAAACAAGGTCTTCTAGGTTCGAGGATAGATCTGCCCAATGCAAAACCGGGTCGTTCAAGGTTCTACTCGCACTCATCCCTTAGCTTTACCATCACTTCCCCAAAACTTTGACAATGGGAATACTAACTTCGTCACATTCTGCAATATTCACACTCGACGCTGCACTGGTCCCCTCTCGCGCAGCCGTAGTGGCAGGATGGGCAACAACTATCCACAGGGGCTTCTTTGACGCACGCAGCCATGGTCAGGCGTAATTGATTGTAGAGGACGTGATTGATTAAGGAGGGCGGTAGTCAATTGACAAGAGGCAAGTCGCTGATGTTTGGGAAGCAAATTCTGTCTGATCACCCCAGCTATGGGCGCGATGGCCTTTTTATAGCATCTGGCAGCAAGGTGTGAGGAAACGGAACTCCGCGCCCCTTACCCACATGCCGTATCCCCCAAGGCTGGCAAAGGACCCATGTTAATAGCAGCAGCAGCAGCAGTAACTAGCAATCCGTGCCATTTGTGGTGTGCCACGTACATATGGCTACAAGCGGAGGGATATTCGATGTCGAACGAAATGTGCCTCACTTGCGCCCTCGACGGCGATCCCCGCAGTATCTGAGGCTCTCTGGACGGAAAGCACCGGAAGATGGGGCTCAAGGAAGATCCCATGTGCTTTGGAGGCAGGATTCAAACGTGTAGAAAAAGAAAGCAGAACGAGGCGCGCGGTGGGAACCATGGGCCCAAACGCCGGGCTGCAGGGAACGCACCAAACAGAAACCACCCCCCGCTGGAGAGGCAGTGATTGAGGGGTACGTCCAATACTGTTCGATGCCTGCTATACCTCTTTGCATTTGCCCGGGTATGTGGGTGTTCCGTGAGAAAGGCTGTGCGGCAGACGTCTCAGTCGAGGTCACCTGTGCTCCACCCTTGAAGGCGCATACTGCGCTGTCCAAATCTACTTCGTCCAGTGCAATGGCTGCGCGCCTTGGGCTGATTAATGAGCTTGTAGTGCAGACCAAGGATGGGAGGATGCCGACCCTACGGCTGAACGGGCTTCAAACGAGTCCGAGTTGGCCGGTTTTCAATGAACCTGTACCCCATGAAACCACCCAAGCTCCCTACAAAACACGACTTTGGTAGAAAGAAATGTATCAACAACCATAAAGCTGCATTCCTCAGTGAATATACCCCTAAGTGCCTGATCCGCAATAACCTATGTACATTACATAGCTCATGTACGTAAAGCGAAATATCATGTACCTCAAACATCAATAGAAAAACCAAATATAGGGAAAAAAACGTCATGGAAAACAAAAAGATAGAAGATGCATCATATCTCACCCAATACAAAACCTGAGGAACCTAAAATCGTCATCCCATGGACCATCAATCGCCTAACAAGAAGGACGAAGAGGAAAAAGCAAGTAGGGGCGGAACATATTGCAATATGCTGGTCAAGGATGTGCCATACACAATAACTGGAAGGCTGAGAAAAATGTTCAGTCGTAATAGAAACAGTGACAGTAGACTAGCCCAATAATCCTCCAGACGCCCCAGGTCAAAACAAGAACTCCAGATTGGTACAAACATAGGTTGATCACTGATAGACAAATAGGGTATATTAAGGCAATGAGTTAGCAGCTTCTGATTGTGATGAGATACGTAGATCTTCTGGTCACCAGATTCGAC